TTTAAATGCATGCTGCATTATAGTTCTAGTGTGCTTTAGGTTCACACTGGCTTCTGACAAACAAGTCATGCATGTCCATTAACTGTGCTCCAAGGCTTTTTCTCCTCCGGGGGTCATGCTGAGCTTACAAATCTCACATTGTTTGATAATGACAGCTAGAAAAATAGCAAGGAAATGAAACATCCTGACTCCATACTGCAGCACTACGTTAAAAATGGAGCAAATGAATCAAGAACACCAGTTTAGTTTAGCTTTAAATTCTTATTGCACACATCACATAATCTTGTAAATGGTTGTGTTCTCAACATGAGCCACACCAGATTTTACTTTAAAGCAGACTAAGGGTATGTTCACATTACAGGGCTTAATGCTCAGATCCAATCTTTCTGCATCAATGGTTCACATTCATATTTGAAGTGACCCATATCAGACATTAGTGTGAATGAAGCTTTGCCCTGAAATGTCTCACATATACGCAATTAGGTCACTCACATGCGCATTGGAACAACAACAAAAAACATCACATTTGCGAAACAAGCTTTTGGGGAAAAAATTATGATGTGGTCTACGTGTTCATCTCACAAATGATTTGCTGCAGAGGTCGGATGACAATTCCTTGTTAAGAAGGAGGCTGCCCACTGTTTGGAAGGGCTGTTTCTCTGGCCGTAGACTAACAAACAGAAGCACATGGCTCATTATCATGCAGAATAACATCATCTGACCAATGTTTGTTTTCGGGCTGTCTTGAATTGGGACATTTTTCAAACCATTGAGACTTTGTGGAGAAATAGCATGAGGGTGAGAAGGAACACACAAGCCATAGCTCTATTTACAGCTACTGCTGGCAGTTCTGTGGAAAGAGAGGTGGGGTGCAGAGGAAGCAGAGCGGTGGAGCCAGATGCCCCCAGAGAGTCGGGGATTCATATCATCAGTCAGAGACCCTTAACTCCTAATAACGCTCCTGCTTTTAAGTGGTGAATTTATCACTCACAGCAACTTAATACAACACAGTCTCTGGCTTTTGTTTAATACCTAGCATCAGTAAAAAATGTTGTTGCACATTTCCAATCCTTCATTAGCACAATTAGCTTGTTTACTATATAACGTGAATGCCGCTGTCACTCTGAGCATCCTGCTAAGCCCATTCAAACTTTAAAAACTTTATATGTTTAATAAAAAAATATTCGTGTTCAACCACCACATCTGTTCTGACTGACATAATTCTGAGTCTTGTTCAGTCTTAGTCCCACTATGAAAAATCAGATCTTTGTCTTTGAGAGCAATACAACATCAGATTTTGGCCACATTTGTGTGTAATCTGAGCATAGGCTAAGATCCAGACCCAGACTGGAACCTGCCAGACTGTGATACCAAACTGCAACGCAAAGTAGATAAAATGCTCCTGTTTGTCAAAACTGAACAGGTTAGAACATGAACATGGGCTTAAGAATGCACACTGTATAATTATGTAATATTCCATACTACCGATTTAGGCCTTGTGGACAAGAAGCCTCCTCTAATGGAAATCACTTTATTGCTACAGGGAATTTCACAATATTATTGTGCTGCTTTGCTGACGTACAAGTGATTTCCAAGATTTAACCCTGAAGCCAAACAACAGTTAGCAATGCGAGCAAAACCGGTCTTGTTTTCCTGGAGCCATAGTAATTCTGAAACAAGAATCACTTTTCTTCAAGTGGCAGCTGTCCAGGCCTAGTTGTTCCACTGATAGATACAATGCTCTACCTAAGACAAAAAGCCATGTGTTCAGCCAATTCAAAGACTCAGACTCACCCACACTGAAAATACAGCTCAGACTGGCTGCTGCGGTTATAGGGTCAATTGCATAACATCCATATTACATGCGTCTGAAGGCTGTGATTTATTCCAAACAGATAATAAACTGCAAGTAATTTTTTATATTTCCAGTACAAGTCATAGGAGGTGAAAACATCATGTTTTTCTTGTCTCCAGTCAGATCTTATGACAATATTGCAGCATATGATCCTGGAGTTAGAGCAGCAGTGACGGCCTGGTGTTTCATCCTGGCACCCTGCTTGAGAGCGGAGCGCCCGCGGCTGTCTCTACAGTACAGCTCCTCATGCTGTACGATTCCTTTAGCTGTGACATACGACAGATTACATAATTCTGCCACTGTATGGCCCTCATTCCTTAACTATCTGTTACTGTAGCCATGAGACTGTCAGCAACCCCCTTCCCCCACCCTTTTAAACACACATAGTGCTTCCATATAGTCACACAGAACACTCAAAGTCACACACACACCAGCCTTGTTTCTCTGGAAGGCACAGGCTGGTTTCACACTTACGGTTTGGCTATACAGTACACCCAAGGGATGCACACACACAGACACAACTCAGAACAATACTTGGCTGGCTTAGAGAAATGCCACATGACTAAGTGAACCACATAACAGTGCTTGCCTTCACTACTGTGCTCCAACATGTGACACAAAACAGCAGCTCAGTCAGGAGACAGTTAGTGCAGAGCAGACGGCAAAGAAGTTTTAATAATCTAACTAACTCAAGACATAAGCTTGGGTTGATTGTGGCGATGCCAGTTGTGGTAAACATTATGTAACGTCCATTTTCACATTTCGCACATTGTAATTCAAAAGAATACGATACAAAATGTTCCTCCTTTAACACCGAACAAACCAACAAAGGGCTTTTCAGTAGAGGGATGAAATAGTCTGATGTCTCTGCTCATAATAAGAAGAGATGGCAGTGAATGAATGGAAGTTAGTTTTCTCAATCCTAGATTAAAAAAAGAGACCTTGACTCCCACTTACATCCCCCATAGACCAAAACAGAAAACACACCTATTCAGCTGGGTTATATAAAAAGTAAGTAAGAATGCAACAGCCCACGGTCCCTTTAGTCACACAATCCAACATGAGGCCTCTCCATCCTCACAGCAAGGTTGGACTGTGGCAAACTTATCTTGCTCCCACCAGGCGATGCAGAGATCTGGGCTATAAATCCTCCCCTGATAGCAATTTTAAGGCAGTTAAAATTGGCTACCCTTCGACGCATTACAGAGGATTTAAGACTGACCCTGGCTCAGTCGTTCTGTCTCTCTCTGCAGGTTACACTGACACACACACACACACACACACACACACACACACACAATAAACTGCCTGGCATCACCACAGCTTTGCAGCGTTGAAGAATGAGCAGTCCCACTGACACACTCTGGGGTTATGTGTTTAATTACTATATAAAAGGCAGTTCTAAATAAATACCTAGTTTGCCTGATTAGATTATATTTGTATGTAAAAGTTGAGTTCAATAACATTAATCACATTGCGCGGGAATTTTTTGCCTTAATTAAAAACTTAAGAGTAGAGTGATGTCAGAGAATGAGGAGCAAAATAGGGAATAACATCCAAGAAAAGTCCCTGGCCACACACAGACACTGCACACACATTGTGATTCATGGTCAGCTCCGTTAAGGAATACTCTACCCTATTGTTTGCAACGAATGGAATAAAATGTATTAAATAAAATAATTTAGTGGTTATTACTTTAAGTAACTATCCTAGTGATTGTACAGTATTTATCCAGATCATGTGTGTTTTCTCCTTGTGTGAAGGAGCTACGTAACATCTGGTTGTAAATTCCATTGCGGAGGACAGCGTAAAGTTTTATATATATATACATACAGAACATTGGGAGCAATTTAGGGCTCAGTATCTTGTCCAAGGATACTTCGACATACAGACTGGAGGAGCCGGGCTTTGAACGGCAATGTCGTCAACAGTTACCATTACCAAGAACATTTTCTTTCAGCCTCCCCAAATTAACTATCCTGCTCTCATCTACTAAAATGATATCCAGTTTGCCATCTGCTGTCTTCAATTGAATTGAATTCAACACAAGTCTTTTAAAGACATCTCTTTGGGCTGTGGGGAATTACGAAATCACAAATAGACAAAACAATTAATCAAGAGCCACATTTGGGATTCTAACTATCAGCTTTCCACTCCAGACCAGTCTCTAGTCCATTCACGTGTCATATATTCTGCTGTTATCATTTTTAAAAAAAAATTTAAGGAAGCTACAAGATCAGATAATTTATGCATTTTAATTATGCCATGCAGCCTGAGCTGTTAGGATATCCAGTGACTTTAATAGATTTTGGAGCTGCAGAGCTTAAACAGGGCGCAGAGGTGAAGGCTGTTGCTCAGGACGTGATGAGACTGGCATAACAACAAGTGAATATCAAGCAACACTCATTTCCACATCACAGGAGGAATGACTCATCATAAACCCCTCTGACAACAGTGTCCGCTTTCAGAAACCTGTGGTTAATTGTGACTTGCGCTTGACACAAATGGCTTTTATGTGTTCGTGCCTGAGAGTGTAAACACAGAAACTAGACGACTGGGAGACAAACTTGAATTTGAATCCGCGCCAAGAGTCTGCGCCAGCCTTTTCTCTGCACTGATATACTTTAAATTCTCATCAAAATGAAGTAACTTTGAACCTTCAGTGATGAGATCTGCTGCTGCCAAAGCAGAGTTTAATACACATTTAAATGGTGGGATTAAGAAATGTCATTGATCTTCATAAGCAGTTCTGCTGGCACTGAAATTAATATGCTCTAGCTATTCTCCTTGTGAATAATATGCATGGCTAATTCAATTAACAAGCAATATCTCAGCTAACATTCAAAGAGGGGGAAAAGCAAAATAATTAAAACCTTGATTTCCGGTGAAACAATTATTCACTTTCTGCGTAAATCTAATCTATTTAAAAAGGATTGACCTAAAGCCCAGCAGTAAATTGATTTAGCGTGTTATTCTACTGGCAGAGGAAACGCAAACATGCTCATCAGTGTGAACATTAGTGGGAGAATTAGGGGAGACATGCTGAAATGAGACTTTGGGTTGCAACAACACAACCGACACACAGAACAAACGAATACATAAGAAGAAGAGAAGAGAAGAGAAGAGATTTTTTTAACCAACTTACCTGAGACGCAGATGAAGGTCATGTAGTCTCCCTGACCACCTGTGGCCAGGAAAGGTATCTTCTTCTTGGTCCTCCGCTTCACCTGCACGGCAGCAAGCATCTTCTCATCATGGGGTGTGAAGACCTCCTTGTTGATGGCTGACTTGGCACTCATCTTTGAAGTGGGCAGGAGTGAACAGCTGGCGAGCAGTTTAAGTGGAGGGGATGAGATCCACTCTTCCTGACGAGGAAAAGAAAATGGCTAATTTCATTAGCATAAATGATGGACCAGGCGGACTACTTGGAGTTCACAAAAGTTCACTTTCTCACTCTCTAGAAGTCTCCCATCTTACAAAGAAACATTTACTTATTCATTCGCCTCTACTGGTATCTTGCCATCGGAATAGTTTGGGTTTTATTTGTCAGGTTTTGAGATATACAACTCTTTAATCCAATGAAAAAGTCCCTATGAAAACTGTTGACAGTGTGTTCTGTGGATTATCTACAATAGCAAGGACACCAATTCACAATGAGATGTAACATCAGTTTTTAAGCATAGTATTTCAATGGTGTGAGCTGCACTCAGTTTTATTCACTTACACTGCATTGGAGTGAAGACAGCAAAGATGGATAACTCAAAACCGAAGCAAATAAAACAAAACTACCCGCATGGACAAAGAGCACTTGAGCACTGGTTCCCAACCTGAAGGCAGCCCAACAGTTATGTTGAGAAATCTGCAGCCTCCAGTTTGAAAGGAGGCACACCAGAACACAGTGCCATTACACACGGCCATCCACTGTTTACCTCAACTAAAACACATCCAAACGACCCCAGGCTGCTATACAATAACACACACTTCACACACACCAGACTGGACAGTTATAGCTCGGTGTTCTGCCTGTTTATGCAGGAGACTCAGATTACTGGAGCGTGCGTGTCACAGCCTTCTATCCCATGTTAAAGCAAAACAATTTAATCTATGCATTACAGTGCAAACGTTGTGAATGCACTGTCGCATTTTAAGGCAGTGGTTCTTAAACTGTTTCCTTCACAAGCTGGACAAAACGTTTATGCACTCCCACCGCACAATTTCTTATCAATCATTGATAATAAATGGGGGAACATCTATTAAAAAAAGATCCATGTTTCATTTTAGTGAAATAAAGGTGAGCATGATAGCACCGGAAAACTTATTATTACTGCTTATTTTCCCAACATAAATCATATTCATTCAATGTTGTTTCACTCCATACTTTCCCCCTGGTTATCCACACCCCACCTGCCGTGGCTCTATGCCCTCCCATGAAGGCCTGCCCCACATTATAAGAGCCACTAATGTAATGATATCAAAGATGTGGCATTGATTGATGTGATCATCATATAAGCTGCTTCACCGAGCTTTTTTTTTTTTTAATCATTTGTCTCTATCATCATCACTGTGATAGGCACAGCTGTCCTGAAGCAGTGAGACCAGTGATGTGACTGGCAGAGAGGACATCTATTGATCACCACACTCTCTGATCTGTACTCCAATTCAGCAAGCCCTTTTGTACTTTGCGCTGCTGTACAAACATGAGGCTAAATAGTCGGGGCGCTTTGAAACATTCACACACAGTCCCTGCGGCCAAGGCCTCCCGCTTTGCTCTTGCATAGTTACAATAAAGCTCAGTGCCATGTGTACTTGCAACTTGTCGTCAATAGTGAGTAGTTTAAGGCCTGATGATGAAACTATACAGTATTTTACAGGGAAAGCAAAAAGCAAAGAGAAATTGGACAAAAGTTTAACAAAATAAAACCTTCAGTAGCACAATGTGAATTTTTTTTTTTCTGTTTCTGAATCAACCCTACTACAAAGACAACCACAGCGAGACTGCAGTGACATGAAGTGAACAGAAGTCATTCTGTTAAAGAACAGTTAGAACTTTTAAAGCTCATGTCACATCCTCAGCCTCGGGCCAATCACTCCCCTCGGTCTACAAAAGTACACACAACCAATCTAAATTTATACACTCTCTACTGCTCACAGTGTATAGCGCGTTAAAGTAATGACATAGGGAGTTAAAGGGTTCCAAAATGGAGAATGGTTGCATCTCTCTGTGCTGCAGCCAGTCTCCACGCTCCATCTCTTTAAATGCTTTGCCAATGTTCTTCTTGGAGCACCGCCATTCGTAGAGATGAAATGGCTTCAGCTGAAGCTGTTAAGAGTGCTGGTAAGTCTCACTGATACAGAGCAGCAATCATGTTTCTATTATTACGAGCCAATGTCTACCAGGGAATGCATTTTTTAGTGACTGGGAATATACCACGAGAGACACAGCACACAGTGTGTCTGATGGTGTCAGGGAAAACTGTGCTTAGTTGACCTAACTGTGTTTAAATGCTGGATACAGTCATAAAGAACTGGGTTAATTAGGTCCAAAATCTCTCTTGAGGACGATAGAGCTTAATCATTTTCTCAGCCACACATATTCACTCTAGACACACAAGCACTCAGAGCCACGTTCCACAAAGGCCACCCGGAGGAACCCATCTATCTGTCAGTCTCAACCAGTCGATGAATTACTTTACTCGAGGCAAAGCAAGCCAGACTGCAAAAAAAAAAAAAAAATGCCTTCATCACACTCACTTGCTAATAAATAACAGACCACAAACACTACTATGTTTAACAGAGCAGCGAGCTTTAAAATGAGTGCTCAGCAGCTGGGGAGAAGCAAGCGGAGTTGGAGTTTCATTCACTGATTTTCATAAAAGCGAAACCTGCAGGGGGACAAGATTTACATGAACAGTTGGAAAGTGAACAAGCCAACTTCTCCGCCCCCAAACTAAGTAACTGAAAGGCTGCCATTGTTGACTGGTGGTCATTGTGAAAGTAGGATTACGTCAGGCTAGACGGAACACTTCATCAGCAGTGGAACATAATAGCTTGGGACATAATACAAAGGCTAGAGTACAATGCAATCTAGCCCTTGCAATAAGTAGTACTTTCATGAAGCTATTATTGCTTATTTTTGTTGAGTGTTAGGTGCATTTACATGGACCCTTATTTTCCACTAATAATCACAATAGTAGCTGAATCAGAATCAAAATGCCTCATACTACCTTGACTGGAAGAGACTGATAGTTTCACTCTGGTTGGAATAAATTTATTTCAGTCAGGACCACTTTAGTCAAAGAAAACTTTATTTCCATTTGCAGTATTATATTTGGCAGTATGGCTCTGTTCTGGAGCCTCTCTCCCTTTCCTCGCGCCTACGCAGAAAGCCTTAGGCGGAGAGAGCACACCTTTCTGCCCTTCCACATGCCTACGAAGAAAGCCTAAGGTGGCGAGAGTACACCTCTCTGCCCTTCCACACGCCTAATTAGAAAGCCTAAGGCAGAAAGCACACCTCTCTGCCCTTCCACACGCCTACGTAGAAAGCCTAAGGTGGAGAGAGCACACCTCTCTGCCCTTCTGTGTGCCTATGTGGAACACCTATTGTAGGGAGAGCACACCTCTCCGCCCTTTCACACGTCTACGTGGAAAGTCATAAGGCAGAGAGAGCACACCTCTCTGTCCTTCCATGGACAAATGAGGAAGCCTGAGGCAGAGAAAGCCAACCTCCCTGCCCTTCCATGCGCCTACATGGAAAGCCTAAGCCAGGGAGAGCAGCAGCAAAGACCCAAGGGAACAGAACAGAGCAGCATCAATGACAAAGCACTGATAGGTCAGACACAACATGAAAAGGAGGAGCTGGGGTGGAGGCGGGTTGCAAGCTGGCTTGCAGAGGAGGCAGCAACAGTAGGAAGGCCAGAGCAGACTAAATATGGCAGCCTGAACGAGATTTGCCAATTGGGCTGTCTGAGATCAGCTGATGTAGCTGGGATGTGAGCTGAGCTTGACATCATGTCCTGCCTAAACTAACACTATGCTCAATTCTCTCTGAGCATGTTTGCCCAATGTGGGGATAAAATTTGATGATGCTGCCACAACAACTGTTTCTACATGCCTACTTCCTCTGATTTTGTCAGAAAATTGCTCTTTAATTCAAAAAATATTTAGTGCTTGGCTAGTGCTAGTTCTTCTGCTATACTTAATGTTTTAAATTATTTGAATTTTCTCAATAAAGTTGGGAAAAACATCTCCTGTTATATCTAGTAGATTAAGTGCTTCACAGCAGGTGAAACCACCACTGTGCAAATCTACTGAACTGCAGTGCAGGCAAAGATAACATGTTAAAAAAAGAAGATAAATCATCATTTCAAAATTTACAGTATGAGTTTCAAAAGGGTAAAAGGTATTGCAAGATCACTGTATTAATACTCCATTATGTTGTACAGAATGTTAAAGTAACATCTCCTATGAAAGGCCCAGATAGACATATAAAGGGCTCAGTGCATTACTTCTACATTTACAAATTTTGTTTTGCGCGCTTGTTTGTTTTAAGCACTTTACAATCTGATTGAATATCCCCTCTTCCTATCCATCTCTCTTCCTCTCTGCTCTTTCAGCAGTGCGAGACTTCACAGTAAACAAAAATGCGGGCCAAGATCTTGTGGAAAGTAATTAGAGAGGTTAATAAATAAGCCTTTGGAATTTAAAGGATGTCCAGCATCCCAACGTTTCGGTTAGGAAACAGATCTAAACTCTACTATAAAAAATTCAACACCCTTGATCACAAGCACAAAGTTGTTTTGTGACTCAACCTTCTGTCAAAAGCAGGAAAGCTGTTTGAGTGAGGGCCTTTGAAGTGAACCAGGCATCATGTAAACACTGCAAAACTGAGCTTTGAGCTGTGTGTTCATGTCAAACTGAGCTGTGATAAAGACGGTGAGACCTGTGCTGTGCCAGTCCAACCTCAAAGTGCACAAACAGTACAGCTCTCACAAGACTTGGACATCATGTCCTCTGGAAAAAAGCTCTGAATGTTTCCAGCACCCGGCAAGGATGGTGGTTTAAACTCTGGTGTGTTTCACAGCTTTCAACACGTCTACACAATCTGAAGTCAACAGACTGATGGTTGTGTTTTTCTAATTAGGATTCTATATTCTTGTTGAGAGGGAAAACAGCTGCACAGCTGTGAGATTCCTCATTATATCATGCATGAAACAACCTACATATGCATAATACTGTATACATCTGTATTCACACTCATTTACATATGAACAGTAAATGCCCTAAATGAGCTCACCCCTTCCCCTTGGTATCTATCCTTTAATACCTCCTTCCCTTCTCAGTTACGGAATGATACAAAATCAAAAAA